CAAAACAAAATAAATTATTGATCACTCTTAATTTTAATTCGATTTTTTTAAAAAAAAATGTCATTGTCAAGTCTAATTGGGTTTGTTTGGGATATTCTATTTAATTTTTTTAAACTTTTGTATTATGTGTTTCTTTTAATGTTGTACGCCGCCCTGAGTCCTTGGGAGAAAGGCGGCATATAAATCTAATAAACCAAACCAAACCAAACCAAGATCCTATTGCTATCTGGAGTCTGGCAGTTCATTACTTCTATCCACATAATTTTTCAAGAACATCATAGGATTCAGATTGAAATTGCATGTTATGAAATGATAAATATTTTTTACAGGTTGTCCTCAACTTATGACCACAATTGAGTCTCAAATTCCTATTTATCCAATCAATTGTTAAGTGAATTTTGCCTCCTTTTATGACCTTTCTTGCCACAGTTGTTAGATGAATCATTGCAGTTGTTAAGTGGATCATGAAGTTATTAAGTGAATCTGACTTCCCTCATTGAATTTGTTTTTTGGAAGCAGGCTGGGAAGGCTACAAATTGTGATCTCATGACTCCAAGGCAGTGCAACTGTCATAATTACATGCCAGTTGCCCAGCCCTTGAATTTTGATCATGTGACCACGGGGATGCAGAAACAGTCCTAAGGGTGAAAAGCAGTCATGAGCCGCAGTGGTGCAGTGGTTAGAGTGCTGTACTGCAGGCTACTTCTGCTGACTGCCAGCTCCCTGCAATTTGGTAGTTCAAATATCACTAGGCTCAAGGTTGACTCAGCCTTCCATCCTTCCGAGGTGGGCAAAATAAGAACCCAAATTGTTGGGTGCTGATTCTGTAAACCACTTAAAGAGAGCTGGAAAGCACATTAAGTGCTACTGCTATAAGTCACTTTTTTCAGTGGCATTGTAACTTTGAATGCTCAGTAAACGAATGGTTGTAAGCCAAGGACTACCTGTAATGAAAGATATCATTCTTCTTTCTGGAGGAATTGCAAGAATGGTCTTTAAATATTCTCCTTTCTACACAGGATCGAGCTCAAAATCTTGTGGAACGAAGAACAAGCACGACGACTCTGACTGTTGATGTCCTTGATGGGGATGACCTTGGACCAATGTTCCTTCCATGTATATTAGTTTTTAACACTCGGGACTGCCGGCCACTCACTTATCAAGCTAGTTTGCCAGAACTCACTGACCCTGTAAGTACGAGGCTGTTAATTGAATTCATTCATTCTGCATCTGTATTTAGTCACCACTAATTGTGCAGCACAAGCTTACAATCAGCAGACTCAACAGGGGCCAGCCGTATATCCTGCTATGTCAGAGACAGTTTTTGCAGCTACATGCAAATTGCAAAGCCTGATTTATCAGACCCTTGAGTGGATTCTTGTCAGGCTTCACACCCAGACTGGCAGTAAATCATATGCCTCCAGACACTTAACCCTTAATCCAACTCTGAGCTAGACTTGGCAGAAATCTCCAAGGTATGACTTGGCTAAATTGATATCTTTATTGCTCCGAAGACTGGAACCTCAATCATAACACTTGATTATTCACCTTACTACAAAAAAANACTAGAACTCACGGCCTCCTGGTTTCTAAGACTGGCGCCTTAACCACTAGATCAAATCTTAATTCCCAGTTTTAAACAACCAGGTCTGGTTTGTAAATAAAACAACAAAAGTGACGAATCTATCCAGAGAGTAAGCTGATCTCCGTTACACTGGAGAGACAAGTGTGATCCACAGACGCACAAAAAAAGCACAACATCAACATCTGAAAAACCCTGCTGTTTGGTTGCCTAGAAATTAGTCTCCCTTGCCCCAAGAGACCAGCTATTTACAAGTCTGAGAAAATTAGCATTTTGGTATATATCCCCCCCCTTCCTCTTCCTTTTCTTTGAATAATCGCCTCCTCCTGTAGTCTTGCCTGTAAATCTTCTGCCAATAAACATTATGACATCTTGGTTCCTCTTAAAAGAAACAAGATATATGTTTCATAATGGAAACAGGCTGGGTTTCCACATAGGGAAGTCTAAACCGAAGTTCAGCTCCAAACTTTTAATTGCAACAACCATTCAATCAGGAATGTTGCTCAAATTTGGCACAGGCGTGTTATTTATACTTGGGAAGAAAAACTTGGAAACAATTAGCAACCACAAAAATGATTCAAACCATCGCAAACTATATTTCAATGAACCGTCCCGCTTCCCTGCTTAGTCTAGCACCGGGGTTTCCAACCTTAGCAACTTTAAGCCTGGAGGACTTCAACTCCCAGAATTCCCGCCAGCTGCATTCCGAGAGTTGAAGTCCTCCAGGCTTAAAGTTGCCAAGGTTGAAGACCTCTGTGCTAGCATTCTCAGACCTGGCATCTTCCAGGCGTACTGAGATTACAACTCCTGGGATCCATCGTGATTTTGAAAAGGGCCAGAATGGATTCAAATATAAACTGAAATTATTAACACAGCGGTTGCTTCTTGCTGTCTCATCCCAAGGCAGACAGCTTCAGCTCAGATACGGAAGCAAGCAGCTATGATATGCCTGAGGAAGCAACAGGCAAAAAGAATGCAGCTCACATCATACCACGATTTCAAAGACTTAAAAAAAAAGAAAGATGGCAGAAAAAGCCGGTATGGCTGCATGGAAGACAGAAAATTGGACACACTCATATATGCATACATACATAGATACATAGATATACATTATATAGCCGAGGTGGCGCAGTGGTTAAATGCAGCACTGCAGGCTACTTCAGCTGACTGCAGTTCTGCA